TATTTAATATAAGTTAGGTTATTATTAAATAAGAAAATAATTATTAAATTATAAAATACATGAAAAAATGTTTAAATGAGAGATCAATGTACTATATTTCCATGAAGATTAAATAATTTTGAATATATTATCTATGTATATTAGCATCAGTATTATTCTTAGTTCATAAATTATTATAAATTTCTAAAATACATAAAACTTGAAAAATATTTTTAATTTTATTACATCTGAAATAGAATACTCTACTATATGAAAATTGAGAGTAAATTTTTTTAATTACTGTTGGATACATGTAAAATCTACGACAATGTATTGTATTATCTTTTAGAAATTAAGCAATCCTACAAATTCAGTAATAAAAAATATATGAAATTACAAAAATCTTATATTTATGTCAAAATACTTAGAAAAATAATTTTTTATAAATCTTAATTATATTTTTATAAATGTTTTATAAAATATAGAAAGAAATATTTAATTTATATAAACGAATAAGAGTATTTTTAAAGCAAAATTTATTTTATATTTTTTATTGAACTTTTGCATTTTCTTCATATTTTCTATTATAAATAAAATATTTTTTATAATTTCTAATATTTTTTATAATTTGAAATAAAAATATTTAAATATTATTATTCAAAGTATTATTGAATTTATTATTTAGATATCTTTGATAGGTATTATTTATTTTATTATTACAAAATTATAACAGCATGATTGATAATAAATACATTTTAATTAAAATGTTTTTAATGTTTAATTAAAAAAATTAAATGTATGCATGTAAATATTATTATGATCTAAAATAGATTTATTTTAATTATATAAAACATTTTATTTAATAAATTAAATAAATACTACAATAGACTTTCAATATAAATGTATAATTAAAATCGATGAAATTTATCACTTTTGATCGAATTTTTATAATTTGATAAATTAAATTAAAATTATTAACTAAAAAATTTTTAATATTTTTCTATATATATATATATATATATATATGTTAATCCAGTAGTAGGTAATTCAGATATGTTAATTTGATGCTTAGAAAACTCATATGCCTTCACATAATTAATTTCAAATTAATACATATTGTAAATATATTATAAATCAATATTGTATAGGATTCACATATAAATGCAATAAAACTAACTTTTAACATGAATACTGTAACTTGAAATAAAAAATAATATTATAACAATAAGTTTATAACAGCAAAATAATAGATATGAGACTTTAAATAGAAATGCAAATATAATTAATCAAAGAATAGAGTATTTGCGGATTGTCGACTTGGTTAAGATAGATAAAAAATTGATTTGTAGTGAAAATATATTATTAATTATACAAAAATTATGTCATGCCAACGCAGCTAAACAGACGGTCTCACGTGTGAAAATCGATACTACAATATCAAGATTATTTTATGCGCGAATTACACACTTGTACTTGGACAACAACGTTCAGTTTTTATTTTATTTATTTAATTTTAAATTAATCGTCAAGAATAATAATATCCAACTTTTTTATATCAAGCATTATGCATCTTATATATTAATGTGAGAAGATCTTTTGTCATATTGAGTTGTAGCCAAAGAGAATGAATTATACATGGAGAATGTATTAATGTTTCCATAATTTTTCATAACTAAAAAATTTTGAATAAATACACACTACTAATCAATTTTAATAAGTAGAGTAGATCAACAGGAATAAAAGAGAATTTAAACATAATATAACATTATATATTTTTTTATTAATTGACTATAACAATTATTTAAATGGAGCATTCATTTATTTTCTTTTATTCTTTTTTTATAAATTTTTTTTATTTAAAAAATTATTTTATAAAATGCTTTTTATTTATGACAACAAATAATTTAATTAAACAATTTCATGATATGACCATCAGATATAAATGTTAATCCAATAATTTATTATTAAATAAATTATTGTACATCCACAATGAGTTTAGTAATTACATTCTTTATAGTACATTTAAATATAAAAGAAATATGAATATGAAAAGTATATTAGAATGAAAATATTAAGCAACTATTCTTGTTTTGATCAATTATTTCTTACCTTTTCCATATACCTCCTTGAATTATTTCTTAATTAAAACAATCTATTCTTTTATTATAATAATATATTTTTTAAATCTTCTTTTTTAATTCTTCTATTATTCTTAGAAATACTATAATTTGAAAAATATTCAAAATATAAATACAAAGTTTTCTATAGAATGTAATTTATAAACGCTACATTTAAGAATATAATTAAAAATTATTTATATACAATTCTAAGAAAAACAATATTAATTAATGTATGATTATCGATTTCAATATTATAAAATGAAACTTATATAATTTTGTTATTGAATTAAATTCAGTATTTATCTCATTGCTTTAATCATACTGATATTTTAGTTAATTTTTTATAAATATTTATTTTTAATTAAATTTTAATAATTAAATTATAATATTTTATGAATATTTTATTGATGATAAGGCAATTAATAAATCGTTTTTCTTTTGAAAAAATATAAAAAAAATAGAATATAATGAATATAGAATATAATGATCTATCTTAGATTTATATTGTACACTAAAATTTCTCCAATTATCACAATTCTATTATAATAAGAGATAATTGACTATGCAGAATATTAAAGTTTAAATATATTAAAGTAAGTTATATTGAAAATTAGTATATGATCATTTTTCAAATTTCTATTACAAATATAAAAATAATAAATCTTAATATGACATATATTAAATAAGTATATATATATATATATATATATATATATACAGTAACTTATTTAAAATACATGAGAAGCTTAAATTATTTTAGTCTGTAATATTAAGAAATAAATTTTCAAAATATTATTGGTACTTTTTTAATTCTTATAAAATTTTGTAATAAAAATTGGCAAACAAAAATTATATCTATAAGATGAATAGCATAAGCTTAAACAATTCACTGTTACGTTAATTTATTTGTTAATTACAGTATTTTTCGATATATTATAATATTCTAATAAAAAGTGAAGATCTTCCTATCGTCAAAGTAAACAATCTTAATCGATCAAACAACCCAAATCAGGCGTATATTGAATTAATAAATCAATTTCAACAGTAATAATGTTTCGCATATCTATGATTTTTATGTAATGTGTTAAAATAAAGCTGGGAATATTTCGAGATGCAGCGACAACTCTATCTGATAAATTTAATTACGATATAAATCATATACTTGATATCTTTAAACGCTTTTGTTATTTATGCGAAAATGGACGCCTATCAGAATATAAGCAGTACAAGCTTTTACGAGAACACCATAAGTATGTATTATATACCATTTAATTTTAATTGACTTCCAATTCTTACCAATGTAAATATATCAAAAAATTTCGTAACAGTTCCCATAAAAAAATAAAATATCACAAAACTGAGTCAATTTTAAGTAACAACAATTATGGTTTAAAGAATATTCATGTCTGGAGATTATTAGATAAAATAGAGAAAAAACATGTTAGTTTGCGACTATTGTTGTTACTTTTTCTGTTTTCACATCAAATAATTTATTATTATACAATACAGATTTGCATCTAATGAAATTCATTAAATATATTATCTTCAACATTATTAGATTTACATATATTTTGAAGTATGTAAGTATTTTGTATTATGGATGTTATTTTCTAAGGAATGCATAGCATGATTTTTTTTACACTTTAAACACATTAATTCAATTCAATATTAATGTTGAAATATTATCTGAATAAGTATATAATTAAAGCATTAATAATTATTTAATTATTGAATTGTTATAAACTATTTTAAAAGTATATATACATAATAAAATATAACTTCTTTTATATATGTAGAATAAATAAATAATTGAATTTTATAAAACTGTATTAAATTAATTAATACTTTTTGATAATACTTTTGTAAATATATTAACAGAAAATAAATATATTTATTATAATTATAAACATAACATACATATTAACAATATATTTTTAATATGAATACAATTTCTCGTCTTCAAGATTGTTATTGTTTTTGTTATCATTATTATAATATTATACTTCCGATTTCATTTGAGCAAAAAAATAAGAAATGATAAAAATTGTGAAAAGTATTTATTAGCTATATAATATAACTATAAAAGTAAAATATTTTTTAATTTACTGTAAGGCTAAAATGAAAATATAAAATTAATAATAAAATTACAATTTTTTAAACAATTACAAAAGATTTAATAATGTATAATAATTATTTAACTAGATTAAGAAATATTCAAATTTTATGTTCTCAGATTTAATATTAAATAATATAAGGGATTAAAAGTTATAAGATAATGAATACGATCGTAGTGCACTGTTAATTTTGATTATTAATTATTAATTTGGAATAAAAATGTTATAAAAAACTACAGATTATTTTTTACAGTTTATGTTTATGTATCTATTGTCTTATGCAATAATTTAATTAAATAATATATTTTTAAGAAATATATGTGTGAAATAAAAGGATGTAGTAAATAATGATTATTTTAATCTAAAAGAAAACTAAGGTTGACTTAGTTCAAAATCATCTAAGAATACACTTTTTACAATACATGTTCAGTTTTTATTTATACTACTTTAATACACCCATAGTCTTTCACCTATTATATCAAATGTTTAGCCATAGTAATTTGATAAGCATTACTTTTCAAACAAGCTGTCTTTATGCCTAGTTGGATTAATTACTTTGTCTCTTAATATCAGAGTAAATAATGATAATTAATTCCAAATTTGTTTATTTAAAGGACGTGCACAATGCATAAAATAAATTTTCTACGTAACAAAATATAATAATCTTGTTTAAATTATAAAATGAAACTATTAATCGCGATTGATCTAAATATGCATCACATTTACAACCCCCTGCCTAACGCGATACAAATATATATAATTTTATTTTGTATAGATCATGATTGTCAGAATACATTGATTGCTGAAGTGCAAGGGAAATCCAGAACTTCGATTACCAATGTAGTGATTGTACGGAGGAAAAAATATCCGGTTCGGAATAAGATCTTCAAAGATATGTCGTTTGATAAGGTTTAATTTTTTTAAACATAAATTTTTATCCAATATTTTTTTTTATTGTAACGTATATGTTTGTGTCCAACATAACCTACAAATATGGATTGCTTTTTTATGTTTTAATGGTTCATACAATCATTTATACATTTTAATTAATCATTGATTACCAATAATAGTCTCGGCGTATTTATGCATATTTTTTATGAAAAAATAAATAATGATAATATTGGATAAATAATTAAATACCTCAAGAGATTAGATAAATCGATTTAATTTAAAAACTAAAAATTTTAATATGTATTTTTTGCCATTGTTTTTTAATTAATAAACACTGAATATATAACAATTATATTATATGAAAACAAATGACATTTTTTAATGTTTTTTTAATTTACCTTTGATATATGTATGTAATTATACTATTAACTACTATTAAAAGTACGTTTTCAATTTATTGTTTAAACTTAACACTAATAAAACTAATTAATTTAAATATTTATTAAAAGTCAAATTTAATTCAACATTTAAATATTCATGATGTATCGTTGTTAATTATATTTTGTGGTTCATATGAATTAAAGAATTTGTAAATACATTTTAAAAAACAATCAAATAAATTATTACTAATTTTTTTATTAAACATACATTTTTAATATTAAAGTTGTAATAGTGATTTTTAAATATTTAAATTTCAATAAAGTGAAATATATTTATGTGGAATAGATACTATATCGATTAGATCAACCTCATGGTCCAGGAACAATTCATATATCTTGGCAACCTGGTAATGGTAATTATTTGGCTACTACAGGATGTGATTCAACAGTTGCCATTATAGATAGACAAGGAGAATTGCAGGAGCGTATTCAATTATCTGGATTGTGTACTGGATTTGGTTGGGATTCTGATGGAGATGTACTTGCTATGGTATCAAGTAGTTCGTCTAATATCATTCTGTGGGATGCAACTACTGGTAAACGATCACAAGTTGATACAGGAGTTAGAGAAGGACTAACATGTATGATGTGGGCAAAAAAGAATTGTTTGCTTGCTGTAGGAACTCTAAAAGGCAATCTGGTTATATATAATCATATAAATGCAAAGTATGATTTATCTTATATATATAAAAAAAATATCTAATAAAACTCAGTATCAATATAAATTTAAAGCAAATAATAAAAATTAATTTATTATTATATATTTATAAATTTATAGAAAATGTATATATTTTCACAGATAAATAAAATTTATAAAATATTTTGTAATATTGTTTAATATTTCTGCATGTAAATTTTAATTAAGTCTATATATGATTTATTATCTTCATTAACTTAATTAGGAGAATACCAATTTTGGGTAAACACAGAAAACGTATCATATGTGGTGTATGGTCAATGGAAGGCTTGCTGGCATTAGCTGGAGAAGATAAAATATTAACTGTAAGCACCAGTGATGGAGATACACGTAGAGAAATTGAGTTGCATGGTGAACCATCAGAGATACAATTTAGTGAAATGAAAATGGATCAACGAGTTGGTGGAGAAAATACAGTGAATAATTCATAAATTATTTTAATAATTTAAGAAAATGTCTTGTAAACTAAAATATATTTCAGGTATCACTTATTATTAGTAAAACAACCTTATATCTTTATAATATACTAGATCCAGATAATCCAATTGAATTAACATTTCAAAAACGATATGGACCAATTGTATCTTACAAATGGTAATTTTCATAGTAACTACATTTAATATGTTCAGAAATATATCATTTTTAAAATTAAAATAAAATAAAATTAGTTTATTTCTAACAATTAAAATAAATATAAAATAAGTCTTTGTCAATAATGTTTATGGAATCAATTATTAAATATAATATAAATAAATTTTTTTATATAAATATTTTATTCCTAAAAATATTAATATCTAAAGAAATAAATTGTTTTTAATTTTAGGTATGGAGATGGTTATATATTACTAGGATTTGAAACAGGTTACATTACTGCTATTTCAACACATATAAAAGAAGTTGGTCAAGAACTTTTTCAGATCAAGAATCATAGAGATTCATTAAATGATATAGCCATAAATAAAAAAACAGGAAAAATCGTGACTTGTGGAGATAATAATTTGAAGATTCATAGCCTGCAAAATATTGAGGAGACTGAAAAGGTTATATCAGTAAGTGGTGAGGTAGGAATTAGTACAGTATCCTGGTCAATGGATGGATCAATGTTAACAGCTGTTACTCACAGTGGAACTGTTTTGATTTATTTAGTTCAAATTCCAAAATTAATAAGCGTTTGTGGCAATAGAATATTGGTACTTGCTAGCTTGACAAAAGTTGCTCTCTATTTGTATACTTTAGACAAGGTAATTTCGTTATATAAATATTTTTAACTAATCTATACTTAAAGTAATTATTAGTATTTTTAGTCAATTATATTTTACTTATTCATATAAATAATTTTTAAGAAATATTCAGAAATTACATAAAAATGAATTATAAATATTAACTATACTTAATGTCAAATATATTCAGAATTCAAAATATTCAAGAATATTATTTAATTGATAGTTTCCTTAAATATATATAGATATTTAATTTAAAATGAAATGTATTATTTATATGTATGTGCTCGTGCGCGTGCGCATAAGTACATAATAATGTACATAAGTAAGGCTTCAAACAAATTTTAGAAACAAAATATATTTAAATAAATTATTCACTTACTTTACTTTAATTATATCGTAGATTGATAAAAAAAATTTATATTAATAAAATATATTTGTTTTTAGACTAAACTTCCTCCTCAAATAATAAATACTATAATAGAACCATCAATAATAGCAATAGGACCATTACACGTAGCAGTTGCATTAAATAATAGAGCTTTATTTTGGAATTTAAGTACTGGACAGAATAATACCTCAACAATGACACATTTTGAAAAAGATTATTTAGCATGTGTAAATTCAATGTATTTAAACAAACTATATGCTTCAGTACTCATTAATGATAAACTGCAAATACACGCGGTAAATATATAAAATACATTTCAAAATATTCTAATGTAAATTCAGTAAATGGTGTAAATAGTGTTAGACATTCTCTTTCACAACAAATTATATTAATTCATATTCATAATATAAAATAATTGTAATATAAATGAAAAATAATTTTTATTTCATATACAATTTTTTTTCTTGAATTTAATGCTTCTAATAATAAACAATAAATTAAATGTTATATATATTTATAGATTAAAAATGATCCAGTTTTAATAAATAATGGAAAAGATACTAAAATGTTTCCAGACCAAAGTATTTTAAGTTCTAAGATAACATGTCATGCTCTTTCTGCAGATTTTTTAGTATATGGTGACGATGTTGGTCAATAGAGTTAAAAATATTGAAATTTTTATTATACATTTTTTAAACTAATGATTCATTTCTTATTTAGATAGGCAACATTGTTTTTTTTTATCTTGAAGAGTTTAAACAAGCTAGTAAATATACTCATAAAAATGGTATAAAACAGGTCTACTTTGATGCAAATGGTTCTCAGTTATGCTTTATTGATAATAAGCTTGATATTTATGTTTATGATCCAATTAATGATATAATTTTGCAAGCATCTAATTGCCCTGATTCTGTTGAAGGTGTTGTTTGGGATCAAAATCTAACAGAACGTACTATTTTTGCAGTTTATAATAATACTGTTATTGCAACTTATATTTTTATGAGATATCATATTGAAGGTAATACAACTATTAAAAGTAGAATATTTTATTGCATTTATTGTTGAATATGTAAAGTTGAATACAGATTTAATAACATTAATTGAGGAATTATAAATATATGATAAAGATAAAGATATGAAAACAATATATACATATACATCTTTATATACAAAAAAATGTTTGGCTTGCCAAAGAAAATGACTATGATTATTATAAATATCAAATTATGTATTATTTTTGTTCATTGATTACGATTATTAAAAATATATTATGTATTATAAATGATTCATGCCTACATTTTGTATAGGTCTTGTTACTATATATATATATAATAGTATAATATATAATAGATATATAGATCTATAATATATAATAGGTGTATAGTAATTGTTACTTTATTTTAGTGGCGAAAATTTTGATAATAGTAAGTTACTAATTCGAAAATTATTTTTAATAAAACCTTAACTCAATATTTCAATATAAAATAGGTTCCAGAATTATTAAAATTAGTGAAACTAAGTTACCTTCTAATTCCATACCAGTATTAATGTACTCTGGTGAAATGACGTTGTGTACATCCAATACTAAATTAATACAAATTACTTTATCATCTCATGAGGAAATTGGAAATATAGTTGAAAATAAAAAATTAATAGAGATTCTTAATAAGCAAATTTTATGTGAAAGGTAATATATTTTCTTGAAAATATTGAATTTTTTTTTTTTATAACATAACTATATTATAACTGTAATATATTATATTTAGATTTCAACAAGCTTATAATACCTGTCAAAGATTAAATGATAAAAATGAATGGCTCAAATTAGCTGAAAGTACGCTTAAAAATTTAAATTTGGAAATGGGTAAACGTTAATTTTTAATATTATAGTTTTTAATTTATAGTATGATTTAATATTAATAATTAGTTTATATGTTTAAATACATTTTGTATTGCTAATCTATGTATCAATACTTGAATCTTTGTATTGTACACTTTTCATCTACAAAACTTTATATAATTATATACTAATTACTTAAGAATTTTGGTAATTCAAAATGTAACTTTAATTGTGTTAAATTATGATGCTTAATTTAAAATTTGAAATGTTAAACAATATAAAATATAAATATAGAATGTTAAAATATAAAATATAACTATAATTATGTGTAAATATTAGTTATGGATGCTGTTAATTTTTAAGTAAATGTCACTTATGCAATTGAAATAAATTATATTTTTTATCAATTTAATTTACACAGCTATTAAAGTTTATCGTTATATTGAGGATGTTTCTATGGTATGGTCAATACAGAAATTGGAAAATATAAACGAACTTACGTTATTAAATGGTCATGTATGTACGCTTCTGGGAAAATACGATGAGGCAGAAAAGTATTTCCTACGATCATCTCAACCTGTAGAAGCTTTATATTTAAGACGAGATCTCATGCAATGGGTTCAAGCTTTGAATTTAGCCCAAAATTTGAAGCCAGAAGAAATACCCTTTATTGCTAGAGAATATGCTCAACAATTGGAATTCATGTATGAATACTATTTTAAATAAGATAATAAAATTTTTTATTTTATTATTATTATTTATTATATTATTTAATTAAAATTCATGTATGAATACTATTTTAAATAAGATAATAAAATTTTTAGTATTATTTTATTTAAGAATTAATTATATGAAAGTGTTTTTAACTTCACACAAACTTGATATTAAATTTTCAATTTCTATATAATTATATATATAATATATCTATATATATAATCGTCGATTTAACTTATATTTAAATAACTTTTATAAAGCCACGACATAATTAAAGTCATATTACAATTTCATGTATATATTTAGGGGAAATTATCCAAAAGCGTTGCTAAATTATGAGCGAGGATTAACAGAAATGACTACAACATTAATGCATCAAAATCCAAATCACAGAATGCAATGTTTATCTGGTATAGCCCGCACATCCATTAAATGTGGTGACTGTCGTAAAGGTGTAAATATTGCCATGGAAAATGACAGTCCAAGATACTTAAAAAAAGAGTGTGCAGAAATTTTAGAAACCATTAAAGTAAATTAAATTTAATTAACAATTTTATTTTAATTATGTGATTTTTATACTACAAATTATTTATGTATTAAATTATTTTAAATATATAAAATATATTTACGATATTAATTTAAAAGAATTATTAAAAAAAAATAATTATAATTTATATAAAAAAAATATTAATTTATTGAAACTTGTTATTTAAATATTTTTAAATTATCTATATACTTAAAATTGTTATCGAAAAAGTTATTCAAATTATTTATTAATTAATTTCAGAAATTTACATTTGTAATTATAAAGAAGATTATAGAAGTCATTGATATATTGAATTAGCTATTACTGATATTACTTCTATTAATTTTATTTTAGTTACTTAAACCAAAAACACAAAAATAATGAATAAATATAATACCATATATATATTAAATTGACTTATATGTATATTATATTTTATAACCATTTTATTTGAACTTTATAAAATTGAAACTTAATATTAAAAAAATTAATTAAGTACAGTCATTTATTAATTCTGACAATTTTTTAATTAAAATTATATAGCTGTATTTATAATATTTTATTTTATTTAATTATTAATGTGTTTTTAAAATAAAATTTAATCATTTGTATAACTTTATTTAGAGTTGTTAACCAAAAAAAACAAGGCGTTGATAAGATATGAGTTGACCATGATTAGAGCTAAAATTAATTTGCATTGAAAATTTATTTAGTTTAATAATTTATTCTTGTATTGGATAGAATCTTTATCAAAAAGGTTAAATTGAAATTAACAGTGTATACAGACTAGAATTATATAAAATTTGTAATGTAATAAAACAAAATGAAATGAATGACCTTATTATTGATAAATAAATATAAATATTTGTAATTTATTTTCAACAAAATTCATATACAAGCTGTAATGTCAGAAAAAATATTGTTAAAATTAATACAAAAAATAAAATTGTAAATGTTCTTTGTTTAAGGTATAATTCGTTAGTTATTTTTAATTTTTTTAGCAATTTAATGAAGCTGCTTTATTGTATGAAAAAGCTGAGTATTTTGATAAAGCGGTATCGTTATATATTCAATTAAAAAATTGGTATAAAGTTGAACAACTTTTACCACAAATATTGTCATCGAAAATTAATATTCAGTATGCAAAGGCAAAGGAAGCTGAAGGAAAATATGAAGAAGCTGCTAAGGCCTATGAAACTGCCAATGATTATGATAACATTATAAGAATTAATTTACTACATCTTAATAATCCAGGTAAATCATAACAAGAATTTCTCAATTTATTTAATAAATTTATAAAGAATTGATCGGATCTTTACATTAAACAATTAGTAATGAAAAAAATACAACCTTTTTTTAATTTTATTCTTCTGTTAATTACCAAAACAGTAATATTTTATTGATGATTTATGTAGCCCGAAGTGTTGAAGTTGTTCAACAAACAAAGAGTATTGAAGGAGCTAAAATGGTAGCACAATTTTTTCAAAAAATGAATGATTATAATTCTGCTATAAAATTTTTAATACTATCAAATTGCCATGATGAAGCTTTTCAACTTGCTAATCAGCATAGTAAAATGGAATTATATGGTGAAATTTTGGCTAATAACATTGACGATGGCAATGTGAGAAAGGAAGATTTTAAGAGTCTAGCCATTTATTTCGAATCCCAAAAGAATTATCTTTTAGTTGGAAAATACTATTTTCATGCTGAAGAATTTTATAAAGTAAGATATAATTATTGGATTATAATTGAATTGAAATAAAATTTTTTAAATATTTGTAATTAAATAGTTATATATAGTATAGCTATTAATTAAAATTATATTAAGATACTGAAAATAATTAATGTATATTTATACAATATGTAAAAAAGAAGCAGCACTTTCTATTAAATTAATTAATTTTATTATGTTAATTAAATAAAGTATGCATAATTTAAAGCAAAATAGAATATATTTTATTAGACTATTAATACAAAATTGTTATTTATATAAACTTAATGTTTATTTATACTTTTATTGTAACTACAAGGCGTTGAAGTATTTATTAAAATCAGCTCAAATATCGGCAAATGATAATGAGGCATTGAGTATAGCCATTGATACCGTTGCTTTGTCAAAAGATGAAAAGTTAGCAAATCAACTTATTGATTTTCTTCTTGGAAGTGATGGTTTACCAAAAGTAAATACTGACTTTAAAAATTATTTAGCAAATAAAGGAATTTGATTAGTTTTTTTATAGTTATACATTTTTTTTGTAGGATCCAAAATATCTATTTCGTTTATACATGGCTCGTAAACAATATAGAGAAGCAGCAAAAACTGCAATTATTATTGCTAATGAAGAACAAATTAATGGTAATATTAATATGATAAAATTAATATATATAATAAATATACATATTATTATAATTTCATAGGAAATTATAGAAATGCTCATGATATTCTATTTAGTATGTATCAAGAATTAAAACGAAATAAAATTAAGGCTCCTTTGGAAATGCAAACAAATATGAGACTTTTACATTCATATATTTTAGTACGCCTTCACGTAAAAAGAAATGATCATTTAAAGGGAGCAAGGATGTTAATAAGAGTCGCTAATAATATTTCAAAATTTCCATCTCGTGAGTAAATGAAAATACTAATTATTTTCAGTAAATATTTAGGTTATATATGAAAATTACCATAATTGAAATTTTATATTTATTAAATGACCATAATTTGATTTTAAAAAGTTGATATTAAAATAAATTATTATATTAATATAAAATAAATAGTGAAATTTTATTTTAATACATGTTTATTCACGTACGAAGTAAACAAATTTTTTATACAATTTTACAGATGTTGTGCCGATTCTAACATCAACAGTAATTGAATGTCATCGAGCAGGCCTCAAAAGCGCGGCTTTCGATTTTGCAGCAATGCTCATGAGACCGGAATATAGGTCTCAAATTGATCCTAAATATAGCAAAAAAATAGAGATGATTGTAAGAAAACCTTTACGTATCAAGGAACAGGACGAGGACGAACCTTCCACAGCCTGTCCTTATTGTAAGAATCGACTTACTGAGACGGAGATCAATTGTGACAAATGTAAAAATACAATCCCATTTTGTATAGCAACGGTACGTTTAATAGATTATTTTTTTTAATTATTTGTGAGAGGCCTTATTTAGAATTAATAATTTTATATTGACTCGTTTATATTAAGAATTTATTATTATAATTTATTTTACTTGAAAATAAACATGAAATATAAGAATTGTAAATTTTAATTTAAAAAATATTTTTTTATAAAAATAGTTTATATTTCTTTATTGTTAAATAAATTTATTGTAGTGAAATAGTTAGAATAATTCATTTAAGGACATTATAAATTGTTTATTAAGTAGTTTAAGAATTTTTATTTTAGGGTCGGCATATTGTAGAAGACGATTTTACTGCCTGTCCACAATGTGATTTTCCAGCAATAAAAAGTGAATTCATGAGGTAATTAAATTTTCATATATAATTTAGATAAATAATATAAATAGACAATATAATTTCATTATATAAAAAGAAAAAGTAATATATATTTTCTTACATTTATGAATTTATAATATCTTGTGAAGATTTTAGAATAATATAAAATATACATGATTATGTGCATTATAAAACTTTTGTAAATCTGATGTAAAAAAATAATTATAATTATATAAAAATAACATATATAACAAACATTATAATACTGAAAACTTACCTTGATATGGGCAAAAAATAGAAAGAAATTATTAATTTTGATTATTCTGTTTTTATCAATTAATAAAATGTTTCTCACACAATTATATTCTATATTTATTCTATCGTTAATCTATAATTACCTATATACTAAATCAGCATATTATTACACTACAGGATTATCGATACAGATGAGACCTGCCCAATCTGTTCCAAACATGTGGATCCAAATAGTGTGCCTCAGAATTTGGATATCTATCCATATCTTTACTTTCATAGTAACCAGAAAAATTCCCATGAGACTTTTGAAAACTATTAAAATTCATAAAAGTAATGATTTAGTTAAAATATCTTGCAAAATTTAATTATTATTATTTATTAATATTATACTATAATATTATAATGTAATGAGATTTAGAAAAAAATATAAAATATTCTAATTAAAATTTTGATTTTGTTTTGTAATGGTATAAAATATTTATATACATCTATTTTATATTTTCAAACATTTTGTTGTATTTCTAACTTGTTTTAAAAAATATAAAAAAATTTATTTAATATTACTATAATTAAAAAAAGAAATTTCAATGAACAATAAATAATTATATCATATATTGTAAAGTAAGCATTCAAATAATGATTTACATAATATTTCATAATTCGGATAATTTATAACTAAAAGATATTATTTAAAAATGTAAATGATAATAAACATCAAATGAATTAATATTCAACTTAGTTATATTTTCAAGTTATTACATTATATATTATTTTATTAAACAGAATTTTAATATTCTTTATTTTTAATGTTTTCTTTAGCGCATATATATAATATAAAATTACACATTTATAGTAACAATATAGTTATAAATATCTTAAATAAATCAGTATATGTAGGCCATTTCAGAATTTAAACATAATATCATTTTGTACAGCTTTGTGAAATAATATAATTTATTTAAAAGAACTTAATATATAACAAATTTCAACTACAGCTTTAACTGATTAGAAACTATATTTCTTATTCTATCAAATTACCATATAAAATATTTTTAAGAAATTATTTAAAAATTTTTTTTATTTAAAAACATGATTTCATTAAGAATTAAATGTAAGCTCAAAATAGAAAAAACCAAAGGTTTTTATATAAACTTATTATAAAACATATATAAACTTATATTATATTATATTATAAAACTATATATAAACTTATTATAAAACATGGCTAAATATTTACATATAAAAAAAGTAAACAGCATCAAATAATGATGTACACAATTTATTTCTACATACATAATTAGTCGATATAATAACTATTGTATTCTTATATTTTTCAATTGTTTATGAATTACTATAAAACTAGTAATGATATTTTAATTAATATATTAATATAATTTATAGAGACCGTTAACAGAGACATTAGTAAATTAAAACAATTATTTTTTAATCTAACCTCTATTAAAATTAATTTTGGGAGAATCGTTTACTATTAGACATTCATTAAATAAGTAATATAAATAATTTAATTTTGTTATTATCGTAATTAATACTTTTAAGCGTCTCTAATTACTATATAAATCATTTTTTAATAATATTAATGTTTCATTAAATTCAATTGTGACAGCAGTCTTTTCGATTGAAAATCAATACAAAAAATAATTTATTTTTCGTTTCAATATATTAAAATTAAAAATTAATACAAATGAAATAAATTTTACTTTTACTTTTAATAAAACATTTTATAAAAAAATTGTATAAAAATGCATCATAAATGTTTTACTTTATCATTAACATACGTCATTTTCATATTTGACAATTACATTTATTTATAAAATTTTAATATTTAAAACAATAATAAAAAATAATAAGTAATTATTTTAAAAAATAGCAGTATACACATATTCAAGACGGAGATATTTATATTTAGATTTTATCGCTAGATAAAAACTAAATGATAACATAACTTCATTAAAATATTCACAATGCATAATAATTCAATTTTAGTCTGTCCATATTTGTTTTATAAAAACGATTTTATATAATTGAAATCTGATAAAAAACAAACAATTATGTATGCATATGATTGGCATATGATTTAGGTTTTGTATATATATATATTCAATTTTTGCTATTAGATTTCATATTATGTTATTACAAATACATTATATAAATAAATTTCAAATGAATTATTTTTTATATGTAATAGAATTCATTAATTATTACTGAGAAAGTAATTCATATTTGAATAGTTGAATTTTCTAAATCTTGGAATAAGCTTTGGATCATTTGATAATGTGATTGTTTAATAAATAATTTACATATTAATTACGTATATTTTTATCTGAAAAAATTATCCATTCATTTACAAATTTAAATTCTTGTTCATTTTATGTACGTATTATATTCACAATCGTTAACAATTTCTTGTAAACACACAAAATTTGAGACTTCATAATACATATTAAATTATAAACTTAAAAAAATTTTCACTAATAAAAATATTTTTCATTACCAAATTTTTAAAAATAATATAAAAATACTCCACTATTCTTTATTTGGAAATATTTTAAGAATAAATTTTAGTTTTTTAAATTTAAAGTTAACATTTTAAATAAGTCCATTAAATATTTTATATGGAAAATTAGATTGATACTAATTAAAACTAAATTTATATCAATAATAAAAATATTTAATTATAAATTATTTTAAAAATTCATAAAAATATATTTTCTTTTTAAAAAATAAATTAGTTATAATTAAGATACAGCAATTAAAATATTAATTTCGATATAAAAATTACATGAAAAGTTTATAAAATACGGAAGTAATTTTGTAGACTTTATTTTATTAATAGACTTTTACAATCTAATATTTCTTAATGTAGTAGAAGAGAATAAATAAAGAGAATTTCTTATATTCTCATAACCGTATTTCCAACCTATAATATATGTATATATATACAATCAAACCGCATATTTTTAAAATGCGGAGGATACCTAAACTTATAAATATTAATATTTAGAAAATGCAGTAATCATTCTTTTATATTCCATTTAAATAAATATTATTTCTAATATGAAATAATAAAAACTAAAGAAAAAAAACTACAATCGTAATAAAATATTATTTTTAAATTCTTATCTTTATTTAATCTATATTGCAAAAAATTATTTTAGGTTAAAGTGATACTAATCACTTGACACTAATTATTTTAGGTTAGTGATACTAATAAATAAGTATATTTTAAAATTAAATTAAATATTACATTTCTTAATCGAATTTTATAATTACATAATATCATATTATTTATTTGTTTATATATAATTTATAGACAGGAGTTGAAGTAAATATTTCTAAGAGTTGTCATTTTACCAAATTTGTAGGTATATATAAATAGGTATATAATAAGTATTCTGTTGTGTCTTTTTAGTCTTATTGAAATTTCATATTAATTGCTTTTTGTAAACTTGTTCTTTTAAATTATCGTCACTCTAAGACTTCAACAAATATTCATTAATTTAATCAAAAATATAAGAAAATTTTATTTTACATTAATAATTTTTTATTAAAATAGCTACTACATGATACTTTTTTTACCAAAAAAAACTTTATTTGTTAAATCCTTTTTACATAATGTTTAAAATAAACCAAACTTCGAAATAATGTTTGGAAAACCCAAAATAAATTTAATTTATTAAATGGTATTTATTATATATATAATTATATATTTATAATTATATACATTTAATTATAGAAAAAACAAAAATTATAATAGTATATAATCAAATGAAATAAATCATTCCTATAAATAAATAAAAAAAATTTTATTTTATATAAATGAATTATTTTTAAAATTAAAGATAATTTATTTAAATCGTGGTTGGGTGTTACCCTTATTATTCATTAAATAGATTCTTATATGTTATTATAAAATTATAATGAAAAATATTTATGATTTGTACATTATGTATCATAATTAAAATGAAATTACATTGATATTATCTTATTTTGATGCAGTTTACTAACATTTTAATACTCTATTTCTAATATATTAACTATTGATTATATCATCTTTACATTGGAATATAATCTAATATTTATTACCACATATTACATTTGCACATAAATGAATAATTGCACATTATTGAAGCAATAAGATTATCATATTTAAGATTTATTACATATTAAATTTCATTATTATACAATGATTAGGATGCTAAGACTTTGTCATTAATGTGTCAAATTAATTTTATATAAATATAGTAAGTGAATTAATTTGTCAAAAAATGTTGTAAGAAGAAAGATATTATTTTTTTCAGTAGCGCATTAAAATATGAATAAATTTATAGTAATCACAAGGATCAATTTTTAAAACGAAAGTACATTTATAAAAAAATGTAAAGATTAGAGTTATATATTTATATATAGAATGTATGGTATTACGAAAGAAAGTTATTATTAAAAAAAGAAGACTGACATAACAATTATTAGAATATATGTTATATTTATGAGTTAAAAGCGAAACGTGTTATATATATCTATTAACTTTTTATGTTCTTGTTCATATTGTAGACGAGCTTGAACTCTGAAATATAAATGTGTACTCAAAACGATCCGCGCGCCAGTGTTCGCAGATAAAGAAGTTAGATAGATGTTCAGTTTCAAGCAGAATAAAGACGTAGTAATACGTATAAAAGGACAAGAAAAATACATTGCAAATACAGTTGCTTAATATCCTTTAATCTGGATTTGTGTTTATAAGTGTCCACTTCTTTCATTGATGCATAAGCATGAAACATATATTTTTGTATAGTGCTATCCGCCGTTCTACACTTGCATACTTTGATGTACGAGGCACTCATTATTCCTCAATTTTGTTTTTTCTTTGTTTTTTGTATTTTCTCCAATATAGCATCATTTTAATATTCATTTTACCTACGAAAGTGTATTAATTATCAGCTTTCTTCTCTCTTTTAAATGTTAACATTAATAAAAAAGAATACATTAACAACATAGACTGTGATTTAGTTTCGATATCAACACTACTTTCAAATGTGCATTTATTTTTTCGAGTGAAAAATTTGTGTCAGTGTATAAGGGTCATTTTATATGAACGATAAAAGAGCGAACTAGTAAGGAGAGGGAGCAACGAGAAGCGCTCGTGCATATAATACATACATATTTTCACATATCTGTATAGGCGGTTGATTTAACAGGTGTGGCGGAAAGACGCGTTATCACGGAGTGGAAACACAAATTGGTCAAAAAGATTGTAATCCCACATCATATACTTGGTGAATTCAGTCATCGCGTAACTCTTCGAGTGTTTAAGAGAGCCCCCTATACGCATACGTTGTCAGTCGGTTACGGAATCAAGGAAACTTAGCGAAAACGACGGGAACGTAACGAATAACGTGAACATCATAAGCAGCAGCAAAATGTCAGAGAATAACGTGCCGCCGGTCTCCTCGAAATTAAAGAACCCGATACCATTGACTTACTGGGAATTCATATGCAGTTTCTTCAATGAAATAATTAGTAGTCCTATAAACCTCGCCCTTGTCGCCATCATTGCCTGGCTCGTGTACAAAATATTTCAAAATAAGCCTAAACAGGAAGAGCCGGCCCAAGTAATCAAGGAACTTGCCAAAATAAAACGCGACTTCACACTTGAAGAGCTCAAAGAGTACAATGGCACGGGACCCGATGGTCGCATACTTGTAGCTGTCAATGGGAACGTATACGATGTGACCAAAGGAGCAAATTTCTACGGTCCCGGTATGATTTCTTAGATACGTGGTAGTTCGACTAAATTAAGTATTTTTAGAAATACTTAATCTTTATCAATATCATCATTGTTGCATATTAGACAAATTTTTTGGAAAATATAGGAGAAGCAGTCTTGAGCGATATCTTTTTATTTTGTTTTCTGATATATTATTAGTCAATGAATAAATCATTTCCAAGATTGTGTCAATTATATTTCTCTATAAACTATATATAAATAGTCTTTACTTAGTTACTGTTTTATTAGGATGTTCCGGTTTGTTCTGAATATTTATATAAAGAGAAACTTCTATAAATTATTTATATTAATCAAAAAGCTTGATATCTGAATATTAAAAACAATATAGTTTATAACTTATGTATAATAACAGAAATATATAACCAATATAAAATTATATATGTAAAAGAACTTTAATCTTTATTTATAGTTATGTTATTAATATTATAAGAATATATATTCTTTTGTCTTTTGTGTTAGCCAATATTTTATAAATTTTTGGAATTATAATAAAAAGTAATATTAAATGTTTTATTAATTTTATTTATATATAACATGCATATTATATGATTATATTGTATTACTTGTATATATATATGCACATATGCTTATATTATATATTTGAAAATCTAAAGTGATTGTTTATTAAAATTGTATTAATTATTTATATACACACTAATTAATTAATAATAAAGTATCTATTTATAAATATATAACCCCATATATATGTAGATACATGAGTTATATTAAATTGATTTAATTAGATAAGTTATGAATAGAAGTTGTATTTAACATGAAATATAGATATTATTGATCTTTGGAAAAGTTATTATATTCATTACTATTTCCTTTTTAATAAAATAAAATATTTAAATGTTATAAACAATATAATATTCATTTATGTTGGTTTATGTTGTAATTTTTAGATAATATATTTTATTTTATAAATCTCACAAATTACTTTTTAAATATGATTATGAAATATATATAGTGGAAAATTTATATACATTTTATTTACAAAGATGGGCCATATGCAGCGTTGGGAGGAAGAGATGCGAGCAGATGTTTGGCTACATTTTCAATTGATCTAGGTAAAGACGAATATGATGATCTCAGTGATTTAAATACAGAGGACATGAATTCAATTATAGAATGGGAAGAACAATTTAAAGGTAAATAATTTTACACTCTGTAAGTATAAGCTCTTTATACTCTACAATTATTTATTATATGTTATGTTTTTAATATAATAACTTACTAATTTTATAAATTTTTAATTAATTATAGTTTATCGTAATATATATATCAAAATATATATTTAATTAATTAATTAATTATAATTTATTATAGTCTAACAGACCAATTTATTAAACTGACACATTTCAAATATATAATTATTTATTTATTATGAAAGTAATTGTACGTATATTTTCATTTGTAGTAAAAATTAATTTTAATATTTGATTCATGTATGACTGTAATTATTATTTTATTAATATTAAACTCTGAATTAATAGTTTTAAAATCAATAAATGATAAATTTTTCTATTAAAGTTTTTAATTTCTTTTAAATAATGCTTGACACTTAAGATTAATCTTCTAGATCAATCTGACAATATTCATTTGCCTATTTTCTCTATTAACATTTTTTGGTAAAATGGCCTTTAAGGCTGTGAATTTTTATTTAATACCATTATTTATGAAGCTAAATATTACTATGTAATTAAAAGTGATAATTATATAAAAATTTAAGTCAATGTTAAAAATATGAAGAATAAAAATTATATTGAATAAATTTAACGAAATTGATGGAATTTTGAAGTGAACTAAAATTTGTACGTAGTAATAATTTTAAAATTAACTTAATACTTTACAAAATACATCATTATTAATGATACAATAATTATATTTTAATTTAACTATTTTCATATTTTTTTATATATTTTAATATGTATTTTTGAAAATAAATAATTATTTAATATATATTTATTATATTATATTTATATATTTTTAATTAAATATTTTTACTTTTTAGAGAGTTATGACTATGTAGGTAAACTTTTACAACCTGGGGATGCCCACACAAATTATTCAGATGAGGAAGAAGAAGGTAGTCAACAGGAGAATGAATCAAAGATCAAAAAGGAATGACCAGTCAAGTGCTTGGTGAAGATGAAATTTCTAATGGACAATGCATGCACACTATTGTTACATGAAAATACAGAAATATTAATGAGTACATACGTGGTTATTCAATTAAGTATTTCGATACTTCATATTAATCAAATGTAAAATAAAACAAAAATACTAAAAAAAATGCGGATTGTAATGGCTATTAGTACAGTCAGAAAATATATGATTATTAAGTGCATGTATCGCGAATTATAACTTCATTTGAATGTTATAACTTTGTGGGAATACATTTTTTGTTACATTATTATATTTATAAAATTAAAAAATTCTTTGAAATTAAGTGATACTTTTTATAGAATAGTTTATGCTATAATTTATACACATAACTGTTTTAAACATAAAATTTTGTATTTAAATTAATTTATAGGCTATAAAGAATACATTTACTAATTTCAAAGATTGTATTTTTTTAAAAATATGATATTGATACAGACAAAGAATATATCTAGAATATAAACATTTTTTGATGGCCTCAAAATCTTTAATTAAATATATTCACTAAAATGTGTATACTTTTTTCGAATTTGAAAAAATCATTTATTTTTAAAATTGCATTGGTTTCATAAAAGAATTTTTTAGCTATTTTGTAGTATGGTTGCAATAAGATTTTCTTCCTCTTTAGGAAAACTGAGTGAGCGTTATTATTGATATAAGTTACGTTGCATTAAAACTTGAACCAATTCATAATTTTATATAAATATTATAAATATTTTATTATAACAATTGTAGGTCATCCCATATACTTTTCTGTCAATGTTAAAATTAATTTTGTATATAAAATAGAAAAGATTTGTATAAAAAGTAAATTCTTGCACTTTTTTACTCTAGTGCATTTGTTGTAATTTTTTATAAATTCTATAAAAACACAAAAGTAAAAAGATAAAATTGTGTTAATTTTATATACTGTACAAATCTTTTCCTTGTATATATAATTTAATTTGAAAAATAAGAGCAATGATTACTTCTAGCTTCTTTTTTAATTCAACTTTAAAAACATGTATAAATAAAATGTATATATACATGGTATATATATTTTTAATTCTTTACATATTTTAATATGAAATACATAATAGCATTCTCTTGATTAAAATATAAAGACATAGTATCAATTTTAATTTAAATGAAAATTGCAAATGCACCCACGCACTTATATATATTAATTGTAAGCTATTAATTTTTAAATGCACAAAAAAGGATAGTACATTGTACAGCAACATGAATAAGCTAATGCAGTAAAACTTGTTTTGAGTAAAAATGTTCTATAAAATATTATATTGTATTCTGTTATATATGTGTGCATTATACTTCTAAACTTTTAACATTATAATTATTTTAAATAGTTTCAATTTTAAGTACAAAAATTTCTTTATATTATGGGATAATTATTATTTTTAATAATAAACTGCTATTATTTTATTTAATTTTCTAACAACTTTTTTACAGTATATTTTTATATCAATAGATTTTTAAGAATCTCGTGGAAAAAATTTCGATTAATACACACTGTAAATTATACCTCAAATCAACAGTAATTGTTCATTTTAATTAAAACTTTATATTCAATAAAAATAATATTTAAATAAGTGAATGAGTAAAATTTAAAACAACATACTCTAATAATTTAAAATAATAAAAAAAATTATTTTAAATTCAATGTAAAAAATTAATCCTGTATGATTATATATTAATTAAATTTGATCATAAGGTTTAAAATTAAAATGCATTTCAAAAATTTGAAGAGTAATATTAAAGTAACAGAAATTTATTTCATTCTTCATTAATACCTTATTTAATTAATTATTGCATATACTTAATTAAATATAGTTATAATTATTTTAAATAATTTTAAAAGTGACATTGTCATGAATGTAGGTATTAATTAAAATAAGTTAAGATTAACATAATATGTATATATTAATAAAGTAATCAGATTTGAAATTATTTTCTTGTAAATTTAGAATGCATAGAATTTTGAAAATATTTAGATTAAATTTAATTGTACAGCATCATATCTAGATAAATTTAACTAAACAATGTTAACATTCTATTAGTATTCTTATTTTTTTCTTAAATAAATCCCAAATTGATTGCAAGTTACATAAAAATGTACTTGTGTATGATACGAATAGTTATACACAAGAATAATAATTCATATGATATAAAGCAAAAAGAAAATTTTACTTTTACTACTCAGAAGAGATTGATATTTGAAACAACGCTGTGAATTGAATAGTACCGAATTTAATAGCAACCAGTTGGTCCTATAAATTGACATTGATATATGTTATTAATATCAATAATGAATATATATTTTATAAATAGCATTTATTAGTTAACTTTCATACGTAAAATTCCAATTAATGTATAATTTATTGTTTATTTTGTATTTGTATACGTATATACATATTTATATAATTGAATATAAAATATAGAATATAGAATAAATTAGCTCATTTTATTTAAAAACGATGAGAATAGTATCAGCATGTATATTATAATATATGCCTATGCTAATTATGTGCTTTATACATAAATATTTAATTTAATAGGTGCAGCTATGAGTTAAAAGAGATGAAGCTTTCCCATCTAAATCGAAAACCAATTATCAAAAAGAAAACTTATCACGAGCAGGATTGCTATACGCAGTATATCCGTTACATCGTATATACCATAATTCCTAATCATTATATAAAAATCGATTAGAGAATTAGAATGTTGAAAGATCGAATCAACATTGACTTTCTTTGTCTATCAATATGAGTTAAATGTATTAATTTCGTGTAATAATGAAAATTCTTAGATGCAAAATTCATCGGATAACTGATTAATTGTTTTGATATAACAATATTGAAATTTACTAATTCTGAAACTTCTAGAATTTATTAATAGTCATAATCTGCTCAGATTATCAAAAATTTCAGTATCTTCACTTTTGTCTATATTTTTGCACTTTACTTTTTCAAACCTACTGTAATATAACATGATCATGCATAAATTATTTTAAAATACTCATTAAAATGTGAAGAGTCTTGAAAATCAGTTAGATCAAATAAAATATTGCAAAGCATCTTTACATCATACAGTTTCCAAACGTAGTATGGTTGATTAATTGCTCAAAAATAGAATACATAAAAAAATATAAGGAAATAGGAATAAAAGAAATAATGTTCATCTCTCCATAATATTTAATAATTAATCATTAAAGAGAAATTAATAATAATGATAAAAAATATAGAAAAAATATTCAATTTTTGAATTATTAATTTATACAGTAACAATTAGATAAAATGAATTTTATTGATTTATATAATAAAGTATTTTTATTTTATGAAATTGTTAAACCTTTAAATTTATCCATCTTATAAAACTTTTTATACATAAATGTTGAAGATACCATTACAAAGCTTCAATATATGTATTTATTAATAATGAATAAGTTAAAAAAATTTCTACATTAATTTTGTTTAACTCACCTATTAATATTAACTACATTCTTAATTATTTCTGTAATTTATAACTAAAATACTTCAAAGCGTAATAAAACAATTTAAAGATAAAATCATTAATTTTTATATACTGTGTTAAAAATTATCATAAATTATTAAAAACTATTATTTAAATTTTTAAAAATTCTTGTATCCTTTCTATCTCATATTTCTGAAATTATATATGTATGTCTATTATATTAAATTAAAAAAATTAAAATCTTATGAATCGAAATTTAAACATAATTAAAAATAGGATTATAATGATTAAATCATTTGTATTATTTATAAATGAAATAAATATAATTAATAATAAAAGTACCAATGTTCGAAAAAACTATAAAAATAAATGTTGAATCAATAGGTTTAACGGTATACTATAAAAAAACTATGTGAATAGAAATTACTTAAATTTTGTTATAGATAAATATAAAAGAAAACTTAAGTTTTCTATCTATTTTTTTTTATAAATACGTTTTTGTAATTTGCTAGGTATAAATGTCTATTTAGAAGCTAAAAAGCAATTATCATTTATTTATTAAATTTTAAAACAATTTTCTATCATTTTCGCAATTTGAATACATTTTCGTCACTTAGAATAATCAGTATATTATTATTATTATTAATCAAATAAACTGTAACTTCTTCATTTAAGCAATCTACTGATTCTTCTGATTCATTAATTTTGACTTTTAAAATGTAGTTTATGAATAGTACTTTAATATAAAAAATTTTCAAAAGTATGTTGTTTTTATGTCAAAACATAATTTGTTAATCGTTTACTTTTGATAGTATTTATTAATCCTATCAGCATTCGGCAGTCGAAAAATTCGATAAGCGTAATTAATAAACTTGCTTACTATTTATAACTTCAATTTTTTAGTTTGTATATAGTCAGTTGTATCATCAATTTATTTTGCAATTATTCTTGATTGAATGATTTTCTCACAACATTTGAAACTAGCATATACTATATAATAAGTTGTATTGTTCCCCGGTGATATTGCTAAGACCATATATAACGGAAAAAAAGTTTAAAGCATCATTTGAGATTAAAGTAAAAAAAATGATTCATTAAAAAACAAATTCAAACTCTCTAAACTAATTCATATCTATGTGCTTACCTATTATCATGTTAATATTTGCATTAGATATTAATGTATATTACTTTAATAAAATAACATAAAAATATGAAACTTATATAAAGTTAATATAGAGACAATATCAAAATAATGAACTCAATAACTTTTATAAAGTATTTATATAAAACGTTATATATACATAAAGTTCATAAGTCTTATAATTATTATTTATTTATTATTTGGAAAATAGTTTCTTCATAAAGAAAATTAAATTTTTATAACATAAAGTTGGACTTAAACTTTATCTGTAAATAAGTAATAGATCAAAATAATTTTTTATAATTAAAATTTTATAAATTCAAAGTCGATTTATGCCAATTTACGTAAATTTTATTGATAAGAATAAGTTTAAATTCTGATACTGTTAATACAAGATACAAGAAGAGTAGATATAACACTAATTTATTTATTCAATTAAA